CTAACTATAAACCTGAGCCAGCCCTAACTATAAACCTGAACCAGCCCTAACTATAAACCTGAACCAGCCCTAACTATGAACCTGAACGAGCCCTAACTATACACCTGAACCAGCTCTAACTAGAAACCTGAGTCAGTCCTAACTATAAACCTGAGTCAGTCCTAACTATAAACCTGAACCAGCCCTAATTATAAACCCGAGTCAGTCCTAACTATAAACCTGAACCAGCCCTGACTATAAACCTGAACCAGCTCTAACTATAAACCTGAGCCAGCGGTAACTATAAACCTGAACCAGCCCTAACTATACACCTGAACCAGCTCTAACTATAAACCTGAGTCAGTCCTAACTATAAACCTGAACCAGTCCTAACTATCAACCTGAACCAGCCCTGACTATAAACCTGAACCAGCTCTAACTATAAACCTGAGCCAGCCCTAACTATAAACCTGAGCCAGCCCTAACTATAAACCTGAACCAGCCCTAACTATAAACCTGAACCAGCTCTAACTATAAACCTGAACCAGCCCTAACTATGAACCTGAACTAGACCTAACTATGAACCTAAGCCAGTCCGAACTATAAACCTGAACCAGCCCTAACTATAAACCTGAACCAGCCCTAACTATGAACCTGAGCCAGCCCTGACTATAAACCTGAACCAGCCCTAACTATAAACCTGAGCCAGCCCTAACTATAAACCTGAAACAGCCCTGAATATAAACCTGAACCAGCCCTAACTATAAACCTGAACCAGCCCTAACTATAAACCTGAGTCAGTCCTAACTATAAACCTGAGTCAGTCCTAACTATGAACCTGAACCAGCCCTAACTATAAACCTGAACCAGCCCTAGCTATAATCCTGAGGGTTTCTGCCGCTCAGACTGAAACTGGAAGCTAGTTCCACAGAAGAGGAGCTTGATAACTGAAGACTCACTGCGGTTGCTATGGTTAGCTGCAGGTTAATCCGCCTTCAGGGTTTTTTGGAAAAAAAATTAAACTGTTTACCAGAAGAAGACACCCGGCAGCCAATCAGAGAGCAGAATGATCACTTTAATGGTGTTAAACCAATCAACATCAGATCCAACAGTTTTAACTGAGGTCAGATACAGAACACACACACATACACGTACACCCACACACACACACACACACACACACACACATAGACACACACACACACACACACTTACACGTACACACACATACACATACACACAGACACACACACACACACACACACAGGAAGAACAGCGAGCTGGAAGAGACAAATCCAGATGTTCAGGGTGTGAAAAAGAACATGGGTCGTCTTAATGATTCCACTTTGCTCCAACAGTCAAAGCTTTGAGTGACTATAGATCAATAATCATCACTAGACCAGGTTCATGTGTTAAACAAGGTCTACCAGTTGTTTGTGTTTCAGCTCTGGAGAACCTGTGATGAAGTTCACCTCAACAGGACACACATGTATTCCTGTTTGTCTCTAAAATCCACAGTAACTGTGTAAAGCTCTGGGTGCTTCAGCTGTCACAAAGAGATCGTCATGGTGTTGGTATCGGAGGAATAACTACGTCGTGATTAGAGGACAGATGAGACGTTCTCCGTCCTCTGAAGGTTGAAACACTCGATTCACATATAAAGGAGGTAATTTCTTGTCGCAGCCTAAATGTAGATTAAAAAGCTCACAGTGAGTTTAAATCGTATCCTGTTCATTTACAACCAGAGCTACTTATTTAATAACACTGTAGAGTGTGGACGATCACTTTGTCTCTTCTAGAGTAGATCATTTAGTTTTGAGTCTTGAACAAACTGCCACATGGAAACCAGAAGACTGAGACAGGAACAAAAAAACGTTCCTTCTTCCTTCTCTTCTCAAAGAGTGAAAGCTTTAATTCACCCCTTGAGAACATTAACAACAGCTGTGTCTGTGTTTCCTGCAGATGTTGCAGTAAAGGCTGACACAGTCCTCCAGATGTCTTCATCACCTTCATCACCTTCATCACCGTCGTTGGCGAAGACAAGAACTTCCCCAGCAGCAGACCCTGATCCGCCCTCGCCTCCACAGAACCACATCACAGTTGCTAAGAAACAGCTGTGGGCGCGGCAGGGCTCTGCAGCTCCGCCCACCTCCCTGCAGTCAGGCTCCGCCCCCAGGAACTCTGACTGGATATCCCAGGATGCATCTGGGCATGCCTGGAGTCAGAGGCTAGCCCAGGATAAGGTAGGAGATGGCAGGGTTGGCTGTTTAACTTCCTGTGTTCCCTTTAATAAGATGAAACCGAAAGATTGCAGTGTTTCATGTAATATGTATCTGAACCTTGCTGCTCCTGGTGGATAAACACTTCATTTCGGTTTGTATTTTGACCTTTCATTTTAGATCTACTCCAGATGGTTTGATGTCCAGGAGCAGATCCTGGGAGGTGGACTGCATCCCTCCAGATCTGCTTCTGGTGGTTCAAACTATCCTTCTTGTTCTCCTGGTAGTTTGATCTATTTGGTATCATGACCTTATCTTATTATTCTCTTCCTGGTAGTTTCATCCCTTCTTTTAGTTCATAAACCTAATCTTCATGTTCTCCTTCTGGTGTTGGACTCCTTGTCAGTGCTTTGATCCACACTTCTTGTTGTACCCTTAGACAGATCATTATGGCAACAGGAAGTGCGTCAGTCTGGCATCGGATATGACCAGCACCCCCAGTGTTCCTGTCGGTTCTACCACAGTCCTCCAACAAGCCCCCCAGCCACCAGGAGCCTCCCCTGATGGACCGGCCATCTTTAACAGCACCAAGTTATCTGGCCAGCGAGCCTATCTGCAAAGCCTGGATCGCAGCAGCCGTGCCTGGGTGCTGTCTTCTGGAAAGACCCAGACTTGTGATGAGGCCTGTGGGGTTCAGCAGGAGAGCGACAGCAACATCTGGTACAACCCGATTCCTGAAGAGGAGGTCGCAGGAGGTCCATGCAGGGAGAAGGAGATATGGAGGAGGAGAGAGGAGAGGGAGGAGGGAGGAGCAGCCAAGAGGACGGGACCAGCAGATACCAGACCACAGCTGGGAGGAGTGATGGTGGCGTCAGCAGAGAGTCCACAGGAGGGCACCAACCCCAGTGTTAGCCATCATACTGATGACGTCACCACAGACAACACAGGTAACTGACTCCACCTGTCTGTCTTCTGCTCATAATTTATTGGTCTTACATATTTCTGATGATTGTGAAATACATTCCCTTTGTGTTTGTGACCAGTTTCAGGTCAATAGAGCCCAATGTTGTTAAGACTTGAAAATAAGTATATTATATTACCACTGTGTCTCTCTCCCTCAGACCCCGCCCCCTCGGACTCCAACCCCGCCCCCTCAAATAAAGGGGGCGTGTCAGGCAGTGTGATTGACAGGCTGAAGTCTCCTGGTACAGTGAGGAAACTCTCCCTAAAGATGAAGAAACTGCCTGAGCTGCGCCGCAAACTCAGCCTTCGCTCCTCCTCTCGCGCCCATCGCCAGGGAAACGACAGCATAGGGGGCGGCGACGAGTTGATCAGTAAGACAGCGTCATCATCATCTGCAGCCAACCAGAATGTGATCAGCAGATATCACCTGGATAGCTCTGCCCCTCCAGCCAGACCACTGCGACGATCATCGAGAGGACGCTCGACCAAAGGAGGTTGAGTGTACCGCTTACAACAAAGAGATCAACATTCATACAACTACACATTTATAACCATATGAGATTTAATACACTTTCATTTAGACTGAGCCACTTATATGTGTCTCTGTTAGCCAATCAAAATCTGATTACAATCAGTTTTGGTTTAAGGACATATATAACAGGCAGGTCCTCAGAAGGAGTTTAAACCTCTGAACGTGGTTTCAGGGCACCAGTTAGGAGGCTGAGAGATTCTCCACTCAGTGATATCGATATACCTTCTAGCATAATGAATGAATGAATGAATGCACATTATCTCTCCTGTACAACTGTTCTTGGTATGAATTCTCCTTTCCTTGATGCAGGTCTGTGATTTATTGTGTTGATGTGTTGCTGATGATGTCTTTGATATTCTCTTTTCATGTAAACCATTAATGATAACCTTGAAGCATTAATTCATCTAATCAAATTAATACATATTAATGCAGCTGCCCTCTCGCTCGCTATCGTTAACCAGCTAAACTCCTCGTCATATGTGCTAAAATCACTGGAGCTGAATATATTTATTTTCCTTTTAGGTTATCTTAGTGACGGGGACTCCCCCGAGCTGCTGCCACGGCAACAGACCCCTACTGTCACAACTTCCCAGGAAACGGTGTGCGACGTGAGTTCATTCCGACTGTACGTGGGCTCCGATCCACAGAGATGCAGCCAGCGGGTCACGGGTTTACTGACGGTCCACCTGCTGGGCCTGGAGGAGATGAAGACCGGCAGGTAAGACCACCAGCCAAAGTAACACCTGGAACTAGCTAACAGCAGCTAACACAAGGTCGTTTGAAGGTTGCTGCTAACTGACAGTTAAAGACAAATGATTTTATAGAGCTGAGCTTCTATAAAAGCTGCACTCACTTTGTATCAGTAGAGAAGTGGGATGTTTTCATATTCACTTCAATACAGTCAGAGTTGGATCGCAGCAGCATCTGGTGGACATTCGAGGAACTACAGCTTTTCTGTCTCTAAATACCCATGAGCCTCAGCTGCTGTTACCATGGAGAAGAAGATAGGTAGAGACTATATAAAAAATGCCATTCTATGAGAATTCACCCACAACCTTCCCAGAACTTAAAAGCGAACAAGCTGCAGATTGTTTTCTGTATTGTCAACACTTGTTAGGGTTAGGGGATCATGTGATTGGTTGATTGGTTGATTCCTCCCAAAACACACCTCGTACGTTATAGTTATTACTACCTCAAAATGTTGATGTGCAAAGGGTTCTTATCAAAGAACCAGATATTTTCTAACAAAGTTTTTCATCTTTGGGTCTGAGGATTGCCGGTCCCTTTTACTGAAGGAACCAGGGCATCAGAACTGATTTACAATCATCAGGACTTTGACACCAGAAACCAACACAATCCACCTGTCGCTTAAAAACACGTTACATTACAGTCATTCAGCAGACGCTTTTATCCAAAGCGACTTACAATTCAGATTCTATCACATTCATACATCGTAGGCACAGCTACGGGAGATATTTTGGGGTTAAGTGTCTTGCTCAAGGAAACATTGACATGCGACTAGTGGAGCCGGAGCCGGGGATCGAACCACCGATCCTCTGATTGAAGGTCGGGCCTGCTCTCACTTAGCCACGTTGGTCGTTTGTAAAGAAAGTGGTTTTCTTCCCGTCTGTGGATCCTCTCAGGTCAGAGGGCAGTAAGGAGGTCTTCCTGGCCATCCAGATCGACGGGGTGACAAGAGCAAGGACAGCCCTCCTGACCCTGCGAGGCTCCTCTCTCCCGTTGAACCACACCTTCCACCTGGAGCTGGAGCGAGCCCGGCAGCTCCGCATTGTGGTCTTAACACCAGGTACTACTGCTGTATTTCAGCTACTAGTTCTACTACTGGGACTATGAGCGCTGCCAGTACTACTACTACTACTACAAACAGCTAAATATCTTTAACTACAGGTCAGATTTTCATAAAATGTTGTGAACTCATTCCGGTTCCTCAGAGGATGAACCCTTTAGATGGCCACCAGACTTTACATGACACAAACTAATCTTTTATCTCCCCTCAAAGAGCATCAACGAGCCACTTTCACAATGACTCGTACATAAACTGTAATAAATACTATTACATGTACACTGGAAACCAAAAGCACGACACAGAGACAGAGTTACAAAGATAGTTTTATTTACTTCATGTTCAAGTCAAAGCCAGGAGATCAGATATAGAAACGAGGATAACGCTGGAGAGCTTGGCAGTAACACACAAGAAAATCTGGGATGAAGTGCAAGTGAACGCATCTAAATAGTGAGGGACTAATGAAGGAACAGGCTACGGGTGAGATGGGCGTGTACCACCGGGTGAGTGATGACAGGAGATTTAAAGAAACAGGCAGCAGCAAAACAATCTAAGATGTAGTGGATTTTGTGACATGAACTAATAAAACCTCTAATAATTGTCTTTCATTAAGTAAACATCTTCTCTGGAATAATTGATCCGATCACCTGAAGTCGGTTTCAGGAGAATCAAACCATTAACTGATCAGGACCTCCAGTACTTTGATCAACTATTAATTCACGTACATATTGGATCAATATTGTGTATCTTCTGCTGATCAGCTCATTACTTTATGGTTTCAGATTATTGATATGAAGTGATGATGTAATATTATAGATCCACCTTTAAAGTGATGATGTGGCAACCCGGGGGATGCGGAGGCAAGATTCAGAGATAAAACAGGTGATTCAGAGACAGTAACCATGTAACAAAAAGTGTCCTTTAATAAACAGGGTAGTGTAAAGCGGGATAGGGTCAAACTCAACAAAAGATTCCTCCCAGTCAGGGTCTTTGGCCTTTGGTCTACACCCAGGGTGAGACGATTCCTCCGTCCTGTTTGGGCAGAGGAGAGAGGTGAGTCCGCTGAATTACCTCTGGTCTGCTGGAGATCCTCGTATTCTTCTGCCCAGTCTGTCTGCCGCTGCTGCTTCACAGCCCTGGGAACATATGCTCATTGTAATTAGCTCATGGGCTGCAGGTGTGACCACTGCCATGCGCCTAGTGGCTGCAGCACCTGCACCGGATAGTATACTCCCTCTAGCACCTCCCCCAACCTGAGCCTGGGGATCCGCCTCCTGTGCTGTGTCTACTCGGCTTTTCCCCCTGGTTTGCCACAATGAACACATTAATGATCAATAATTATAATAGATATTATTCTGCATAATGACTTTTACTTTGTTAATTTATCAACATTATTCTGTAATTTCTACCCTGAGATACTTGACTGAAGTAAAAGTACTTAATGTGTTTCTGTCTCTGCAGTCGGTCCAGCAGCAGGATCAGGGTCTAAATCAGAGATGGATCAGACTTCAACCGGTCCAACCAGGAACCGAGTCTGTGGTCTGGGAGGAGTCTCCATGCCGCCACTATTTAAAGGTCCACTTCACCCCAGTATTGATTGATTGATTGATTGATTGATTGTATAAATAATGATTTTCTGTCTCTCAGGGAGTCGTTGTCAGCAGCTCTGTGTGAAGTTGGAGCCTCGAGGACTTCTTTATGTCAAACTGTCTCTACAGGAAAAATGGGACACACAGGTACACAGTAATACTACTGCTAATGAGACACACAGGTACACAGTAATACTACTACTAATGGGACACACAGGTACACAGTAATACTACTGCTAATGGGACACACAGGTACACAGTAATACTACTACATGATAAGATGTGGAGTCTGATAAAGTCAAAGTCATATTTAAATCAACCTTCTTAAAGCTCACACTTCATACAATCTTTGTTTGTCACAGTATCCTTAGTGTACTTAGTGTACTTATACCTCCTCAGTGATACTATGACCTTCATCAGAGCTCCTGCAGATTACAGCCACTATATAAAGGTCTACCAATATGAAATACTCCTAACATTACAGAGTAAAGTTAGATTGTTTTACTTTCTCCCTGCAGCCCAGTTACCAATCAGTGCCTGCTAATGTGTTTGGGGTTGATCTTCACCATCTGGTGGAGAAAGAAGAATCTACATCACTGATCCCGATCCTGATCCAGAAATCTGTGGCAGAGATCGAGCGAAGAGGCCTGAAGGTATCTATCGGCTCTTTATTAGCTCCACTAGGAACGGATGAATCCTCAGAGGAACAGCTGCTTCTTGGGCTTTTCTGAGATTGATTGATTGGGTTAGGGTTGTGATTGGACCAGACGCATCATTCAGAACAAACAATATTTGAGCTGGATGATTTCTCTGAAGGGTTTTCTGTCCATTCAGGACTTTATAAACCACTGACTGCTGTTCAATACCTTATCTGTCTGTCTGCCTGACTGTCTGTCTGTCTGTCAGGTGGTGGGTCTGTACAGACTGTGTGGTTCTGCTGCGGTGAAGAAGGAACTCAGGGATTGGTTCGAGAGGAACAGTTCAGCAGTTTGTCTCAGCGAGGATCTGTACCCTGACATCAACGTCATCACAGGTCAGTGAACATAGTGGGGTGATGGAGACATTAGGGAGAGGGACAGGGTGTCCTTATTAGTCCATCATGTCTCTACAAGGATCTACATACAGACATTAGGGAGAGGGACAGGGTGTCTGTATTTGTCCAACAGGTCTCTACAAGGATCTAGACCTGAAATGAATGGCATCGGGCTGATCCTGGTTGATCAGACATCCCTGCAGAGATTCATGGCTCTGATGATTTAAACCTAATCTCACTGAAAGTATCTTTGACGCCTCTTCATCCATCTTGATTCGAGTGTGAAACCTGACCCAGCGGCTAAAGCTGTTTATTCTGCATTCACAGAATCTGGTTAGAGAGCTAAGAGAAATCAAAAGAGAAGGATTCTTCTCATTTCTTTTATTGAAGAAATACATTGTTGATTAATAATTAAAATACCTACTTCTGGTCATGTATATGAATACATCATAATAATACAGCAGCAGGTTGCTTGATTGCAGACCAAAACAAGACTTTGTTGTTGAAGGGTTCGAGTGGTCTCTGCAGGACTGGTTCTGCAACCTCTGGGTCTGAAAAGTGAAGAACTTAAATCTGCTTCTATTTAACGGACATCAAAACCAAAATGCTGAATTCAAGGATTCCAAACCGTAGTCCACAGACCGATGGGAGTCCGTCCACTTATTCTTTACAGTCGAGGATTAGATTAGATTAGATTAGATTAGATATATACTTTTTTCATCCCCATGGGGAAATTTGTCTGTGGCAGCAGCAAACAAGGTTACACAATAAAATAAAAATATAAAGTATGGAAAAAATATTAAGTATCAACAACAATCAACACAGTGCAAAGTAGAAACATATTAAAATTTACAGAAAAATGCAAAATAAAGTAAAATATAAAATAAAGTGAAATATAAAATTAAGTGAAATATAAAATAAAGTGAAATATAAGATAAAGTGCACAAACGAACAGATAACAGGACTATAAACAAGCGAGATGTAAGTGTTAGATTCATGGACCTCTTAAACTGTGGGAGACCGCATGTGATCCAGCCTCTTCCCAAAAAGTCAGCCGGTTTCAATTATAAACAAAAGTATTTAATACTACAGAAGCTAAAACAATTGCAAAGTGAAGTACATTATTTAAAGTATCTATAGATATATTTACAGCATCCGCACGGAAAAACAGACATACCCCCGCGATGAAACGTGAGGAAAGAGGACGAGAGTTCTTTCTCTCCCACCTTACATAGTTGAAAAAACATCCCATAATGTCCGTAGTTCCTATTGGCTAAATCCAGCTGGCTCCTCCTTCTCGCAGGACCCTCGCACGGGTGTGGCTTGTCCCTGTAATTGCCTGTCTGAAAATCCCTGTCTGTCCCTTAGCTACAGTTTAATACATTCAATGACTGTCTTTTATGGCTTAACACTTCTATGGTAAACATACTATATAAAGATAAGGATTTGCAACTTTTGGCAAAAACTTCACAAGTTTTACAAGCATAGATGGTACTTCCCAAGTACTTGCTATCATTTTAATATCCACCTCTAAAGGTGCTACAAATTCTACTAAGAAACATTTCTAACTATAAATTCTAAAACACACCTATAATTATGAATCTTCTAATTATGAATTCTAAAACACTTCTAATTATGATTTCTTAATTATGAATCATTAAACACTTCTATTATAATTTCTTAAAGCACAGTTCTAAACCTAAATTTCCTACATAAGTGTAGTGTAAAAGTGTCGAGTGTATTTAAATAACAACCTAGAAGGGATGCAGGGGAGTGACCGGTAGGAAATTGTCCTGAGGATGACAGTCAGTGGGGGACCCGGGCTCTGTTAATGAGCCCGACTGCAGATGGGAAGAAACTGTTCATGTGTCATGAGGTCTTGGTCCTGATGGACCTCAGCCTCCTGCCAGATGGAAGGGGCATGAACAGTTTCTGTCCAGGGTGAGAGGGGTCGGCTACAATCCTTCTTGCTCGCTTCAGGGTCCTTGAAGTGAACAGGTCCTGGAGGGACGGCTGATTGCAGCCAATCACCCTCTCAGCAGAGCGAATGATGCGCTGCAGTCTGCCCTTGTCCTTGGCAGTGGCTGCAGCGTACCAGACCGTGATGGAGGAGCAGAGGATGGACTCAATGATGGCTGTGTAGAAGTGCACCATCATTGTCTTTGGCAGGTGGAATTTCTTCAGCTGCCTCAGGAAGTACATCCTCTGCTGAGCCTTCTTTGTGATGGAGCTGATGTTCAGCTCCCACTTGAGGTCCTGGGTTATGATGGAGCCCAGGAAGCAGAAGGACTCCACTGCGTCGACGGTGGAGTCACACACAGTGATAGGGGGAGTCACACAGGGTGATGGGGGCAGGTGGGGCTGCATTCTTCCGGAAATCCACAACCATCTCCACTGTCTTTAGAGCGTTGAGCACCAAGTTGTTCAAACCGCACCAGGTCACCAGATGGTCAGTCAGGGTGATACGTCTTCTATCTTGGAAATGCACATCATCTCGTTAAACTTTCATCAATATCACATCGTATCTACTTCATAGTTTTGAAACATGTCCCTCAAGATGAGTATCAGGTGTCTGTGATATTCAAACAATGAGGTACAGTTGGTTCTGTGTGTCGTGTCACGAGATGCCTCCAGTGCGTCAGAGTCCACCTAAATGACCTTTTCTGATTGTCCTGTGGGTTTTCTCAGGTATACTAAAGGACTACCTGCGGGAGCTGCCGTCTCCGCTCATCACCAGGACTCTGTATCAGGTTGTTAGGGAGGCCATGACCCTACGACCTCCACATGCCCCACCTGGGACCCCTGATCCCCAGCTGGCCCAGAGCACTGTGGAGCTGCTGTCCTGTCTACCGCCTCCAGAGAGGGTAACACAGAATACTACTACTGCAGTACTACTACTGAAGTACTACACTACAGCATTCTATTTGTCTGACTGGAACCTCACGTTATTCTTTGGCCACATGTCTCCATTCTCATGAAAGGTTTAGTGAAACAGTTTCTTCAACATGTAGGAGACAGAAGAGATACGTTTAAAAACTTAATGTCAACTCTTTCTCCGTCTACACATCAATGATTGTGGAAGTTGACAAATTGAACTCGGATCAGCCAATCAGCATGTTTGATGCACAGCTGTGTAAAGCATTGTTGAGGTATTTGCACTGGCTCTGCAAGTTCACCTAAGATTACCCATAACATCCCTCTCTATGTAAATCCACTTTTACATGCATTCAATCTGCTTTGACACCAGATTGATTAATTTAGAAACATACACCTCAAGTCCTTAAATCCGTCAGCATCCTGACGGATTTAAGGACCTGACAGTCTGGATTAAACATTTCACGGGTTGTGTTGACGGGAACTTGGTGAACGGATGAAGTCAAACGTTGTCCTCTCTCCAGGCCACCCTGTCTCTCCTGCTGGACCACCTCAGTCTGGTGGCGTCCCTTAGCTCCTCCAACAGGATGACGCACCAGAACCTTGCCGTCTGCTTCGGCCCGGTGCTCCTCACCCCGACCCAGGAGGCCTGGAGGGGGGGAAGAGGAGGGAAGGGAGTCAGTCATGGTGAAGAGATGGCGAGCGCGTTGGATTTCAAACGACATATCGAGGCGTTGCACTACCTGCTGCAGCTGTGGCCAGGTGAGTCAATAACCACTTTGATGCTGTATTGTTGCCATGGATACCACCTTACCTTTAACAGGTGTCACTTTGCTCAGCATCTTTTGTTGCTTTTCGTATCTTCTTCCTCAGTGCCGACCCATCGATTCCCAGCAGACAACCACATCAACATCTCCCCGCTTCCCTCCCCCACGCTTACCCATAACCCTCTTGGACAGCAGCAGTGGCGTCCTGCACTGCGATTGGCTCTGCCCCAGAACCCTGAGGAGGAGGTGGTGGTGTCACGTCGGGGTCGAGGTGGCCTGGCCCGGCTGGAGAGTCCGCCACTGATCAACCGGTACGCCGGAGACTGGAGCATCTGTGGACGAGATCTTCTGTCCGGACAGGAGGCCGATTACGACGAGGTGGCAGGAAGTGAAAGTGATGGAGGTAAATAATAAAAAAGTGGATAAACGTCTTCACTCCCAGAGTTTTTAAATACCAGCTGCTTCACAAACAGCAGCGAGTCATGTTGGTCTGTGATTCAAGTCCACTTAACAAGTCATATCAGATTTAAGACCGAAGAAAATCAAGCAAATCATAAATCTGTTTTTTTAAAGTGACTCTACCAACACACCCATAGTTTGTCTTAAGAAACAAACTTTTATCAAGTCATTGTCAAACCTTCTGAACCTCCTGAACTCTACTGAACATGTTGATCCTTGTTCTGGTCCTCCTGATCTCTTCTGAACATGTTAACCATGTTCTGCTCCTCCTGATCTCTACTGAACATGTTGACCATGTTCTGGTCCTCCTGATCTCTACTGAACATGTTAACCATGTTCTGGTCCTCCTGATCTCTTCTGAATATGTTGACCATGTTCTGGTCCTCCTGATCTCTCACTCCTTCTTGTTGTTACTGTTTCAGGCAGCGGGGATGAAGAGGAAGAGGAGAAGAAGGAGATGTGGTCCACAAAAGGAGGAGGAGGTCTGTACGTAGACGAGTTCATGGATTTTGATGCTCCATTTAACTGCCGACTCAGTCTGAAAGACTTCGACGCTCTTATCCACGACTTAGACCGAGAGCTGGCCAAACAGATCAACATCTGTCTGTAGAACCACATTAACTTATTTCTCTGATCCAAAGGTAAACCGTGGTTTTTGTAGGTGTCGACCCTCTAAAGATGTGAACTGAATTATGTTCTTGTGGTTCTGTGTATCAGGGTAGCATCCTGTTGGATCCTATTAGAACCTGTTAGAACCTGTTGGATCCTGTTGCAACATGTTAAAACATGTTATAACATGTCAGAACCTGTTAGAACCTGTTAGAACCTTTTGGATCTTGTTAGAACCTGTTAGAACCTTTTGGATCCTGTTAGAACATGTTAGAATATTTTGGATCCTGTTGGAACATGTTAAAACATGTCGGAACCTGTTAGAACCTGTTGGATCCTGTTGGATCCTGTTGGATCCTATTGTATCCTGTTGGATCCTGTTAGAACATGTTAAAACATGTTGGAACCTGTTGGATCTTTTTTGGAACATGTTAAAACATGTTGGAACTTGTCGGAACATGTTCGGCTGTTTGCACTGTTAAAGCCATAATTTCACTTATTGAAATTTGTATTTGAAGTGAACAAACTGCAGAACTCATCGCTCTGCTGCTTCTGTCACCCCGAAAACATCAGTCCACAAACCAACGTCCACTTCTTCTAGACAGTTTAGCTGTTAGCCCTTCAGGTTTCTCAACCCCCTGCTGGTTTCTGAACCCTTTTCTTGTTTCTGAACCCTTTGCTGGTTTCTGAACCCTTTGCTTGTTTCTGAACCCCCTGCTTGTTTCTGAACCCCCTGCTGGTTTCTGAACCCTTTGCTGGTTTCTGAACCCCTTGCTTTTTTCTGAACCCCTTGCTTGTTTCTGAACCCCCTGCTGGTTTCTGAACCCCCTGCTGGTTTCTGAACCCCTTGCTGGTTTCTGAACCCCCTGCTGGTTTCTGAACCCCCTGCTGGTTGAGCAGCAGAGGGATGTGAGCTGCAGCTGGTTGTCAGTATTTTCACGGTACAGAGTTTAAACTGTGAGGACTTTGTGAAGCTACAGAAGGAATACAATGCCATACTCAGTGTTACCAATGATGATGATGTTATTTTTACCTGTTTTCTGTGTTTGTTCCTCTGTTTTTTTGATGACAGTATTTCTTTTTTTGCACAAGGATAATAAGCACTTATGTATTTTTATCGTTAATGACAATGTTTCTATGCAGATAACCAAAGTGTTGAAGCACTGTTCCTGTTGGAACATCTTATTAACCTAACTATTAAACACATTATTATTATTAGCAGTAGTATGATTTTTATTGATAAGCCAATGATTTGCTATGAACACCTACTTTCTGTTTGATCAAGAGCAAAGATGAAGCTTGAGCCTCTTTTTGTGATAAGAAGTTGTGAACATGAGTTCAGTTTGAAGATTTAAGGGCAGAGTCACACATGAGCAACATTAACATCAGAAAATATTATATACACATATTATATACATATATTATATACACATATTATATACATATATTATATACATATATTATATTCACCTCCAGGTTTCTGACTTTCTATCCGAGCAAAGCGTGAATGAAACGTGTTTCTAGTGGTGTTCAACTTTATCTTTGAACGACAAAGTTTCAGCAATAGCAAAGTGTGTGTATGTGTGTGTGTGTGTGTGTGTGTGTGTGTGTGTGTGTGTGTGTTGACCCACATTCAGCATTAATATGGACATACAAGGCTGTGGTCGATTTGACAGATTATTTGAGATATGAACGTGATCAGATTAATTAATTTTGAGAAAACATGAGTTAATTCACAAACACTGACCCGGTCACGGCTGTTTTCTGTCCTGGCCCCACAGTGGTGGAATGAACTCCCCACTGACGTCAGGACAGCAGAGTTGCTGCCCATCTTTCATCAGGCTGAAGACTCACCTCTTCAAGAAGTACTACCCTGAGCCTTCCACTCACCACTTATTGTATTCATACTAGTTTGTTTCTGTACTTCTGCTCTGGTTTATGCTCTTAGATGCTTGTATAAAGGAGATGCACTTATGACTTCTGGTGACTAGTAGTTCTCTTGAATACCGATGTTGAATACACTAAATGTAAGTCGCTTTGGATAAAAGCATCTGCTAAATGACTGTAATGTAATTTAATGTTTGACTCAAACAAAACAAATGTTTGACTCAAACATCAGCAAGACATTCACATTAAGGGGGTATATTTCAGTGATGAGGGACCAGAGGAAGTCCAGGTTCAGGTCTATAACACCTTAAAAGGACACTGTGCGCCTGTTGAAAATATTTTTTATGCTCTCAGTTGCATCTGGCAGGACTCTGCAGCTAGACTGAGCTGCGACCTCACTCCATTAAGAGACATTTTATTTAATTTGAAGGTGTGTTCATGAATTATTGAATGCGGAACTGTAGAGGCTGCAGAGGGTTCAGGGCAGGAAGTGTTCAATGGTCAGCAGGTAAGACTTTTATTCTGAAGAGACTAATTTATCTTTGTTATTTATAATTCATATTGATTATATTTATTAACACTCTGCCTCTGTTTTCAGTCACCCGATAGAGTCATACTGACTTCTGCTTCCTTATATATAATCATCATAATAATAATAACTTCAGCACCTTTAAAAGCAGCATGGTCCCAAGACACTTTAAGTCTTCATGTGATACATGTTCCTACCAAATTTCATAGATCTATGTCAAACGTACTGTGAGGGCTGCTTTGTCGAAATGTTGTAGGGGGCGCTATCGAGCCAACTTGCCACTCTGAAGCATTAAAACCATATAACTACATTTTGGGCTTGTAATCTGTGTGCCAAGTTTGCTTATGTTTCGAGCATTTTTAGCCTCAAAATGACCTTCGTTTTTCACGGCGAAGACTGCGTCACCACGGCAACAGCGTTCCACGAAACATCAAAAGCTTCATGAACTGGCATTATGAACTTCTTATATTTGTGTGGAACTAATTTGATGTTGATCTGATTTACCTACTAAGAGAAACAAGCCAAAGTATAAAGACTTTAACTTCCGGTTGCCACTAGGTGGCGCTATGACTATGATTCTAAATTATCATATAGATGTGTTCCGGGTCAGGATGTTATGACATATGAGAGATTTGGAGCAGATTCGACAATGTACGGCCGAGTTACAACAACTTCCTGTTTTTTTGCCGCCACGGATACATTGTTCGATAACTTTTTGATCTTTGAGTAACTTCTCACTGCCAGGTCTTAGAGAGCTTGGTGAAACCGAAAGTTGGGACTGCACTCTAGGTGGCACTATCGAGACATTTTGTCCGACCCCAATTTCCTTGTTATTTTCACCGATCCTGATTTTTGTGCACATTTTGAAGAGTGAACATGTGGCCCAAACACCTCTTTTCCCCCTTGAAAGACGCAGAATAATAATAATAAGACGAAGAAGAAGCAACATTTGAAGAACAATAGGTCCTACGCTCCGTCGGTGCTCGGGTCCTAATAATAATAATAATAATAATAACAGCAGAAAGCTCAGCGAGCTTCTCTCTCCATATGATAGAACATGTAACGATTGGTTCTGAAGCTCTTTGGGAACTATAATTGTGACTTTGGGAGGTTAATACTTGCTGTTCATGATGATTATGTGACCTGTCAACATGTTTCTGTTAACAAGAGAAGCTTTGACGGAAAAGCTTTCATACCTAATTTGTGATGTCAGATTCTATAAATATAAATAAAAAAATATATAAATAAAAATAAATTATAGTTGTAAGAGCCACAAGTGTATATATTAGTTAATTGAATTTCGCTAATATTAATCATTTAACTTCTGAATTATGCTCATTGTGCAGGAACTAAGAAATGTAAAATATATTGAAAGGCGTTTATGTTAATGATTGACGCTCCCTGACGTCATGACGGCAGCAGATGCAAAACAAAGAGCTGCATTAAGCACGAGAGTATATAGTTGTTCTACCGTGTGACAGAGTATATTAGTTGTGTATTTAGTTAACGCTTTGCTGAGTAAATAATAAAGATAAAAGGAAAAGAGTTAAATGATCTCTTGTCATTCGCATAAGAAAATTAAGTCACCGTGTCTGCAGCTTATTTGTGGCTTAATAATGAACAACACAGACGGAACGCCTCTACATTAGTTATTACAAGAATTGACACATACAATTACTTTATTGAACTCTAACTGTTTATCTTTTAGTTTCTTTAATGTTCTACTCTGTTGCTGAACATTTATAATGTATAATATTCTGCCTGTCAGTCCGGAGTCAGGGCTCCAAACCCCTCTAGGTCCGTTACGTTGGCGATGGACCGCTTGTCTTTTTTTTGATTGGCTGAGAGAGTGAGCAGCTGGCGGTTCAGAGCGCTGATTGGCTGCCTCCTCTGTTTGGAGGCGTGTCGCAGCGCGAGGACCTGCAGCGGCTTCTCCTCCTAAAATGGCTGAAAAATAGAAGGAAAATAATTTAAATAAAGAAAAGAATAGAAACAGAAAGCGGTTCGTGTGGGACTCTGATGGACTCTACTGGACTCTGCTGGACTCTGCTGGACTCTGCTGGACTCCACTGAGAGAAACTTTCCAATGAGCTGCACCAGGTACAGTCTGCTCTGAAACTGCGCCACAGAAGCTTCATTCTACTGAGTTCTACTCACTGAAGCCCTCTATCGGCTTTATTGTTATTATTATTATTGCTGTTGTTGTTGTTGTTGTTGTTGTTGTTATCATTATTATATATTTAATCCTGAAATATGATAAATATGTGAAAAGTACTAAATGTGTTTGAAGTAAAAACTGCAATAAGAGCAGGAAACACCTGACAATATATGTATTATATTTTCTTGTATATAATTCTAACTTTACTATGTACAATATAATACATTACTATACTTTACTTCACTATACTATACTATTGTATATCTTGTTGTCATAGTTATTGTCATATGCAAAACAATTACAGAGAAGCTCCCACATTAAATATGAAATATGGTCATTAAATATGTTTGAACAGAAATATGAGAGTCACAAACATAAAATAGTGCAGAAATTAAAAATGTAAGAATAAAATATAACATATCAAATAAAATAAAGGGATGAAATATAACATACAATTATATAAATAGATCAAATATAACATAAAATATGACAAATAACGTATCAATGAATCAAACTCTGATTTCAGACTCAGGGTCGATAAGACAGACCATTGCATAGAATACATGACATAGAAAAGCACAGTAAGAGAACAGAGGCCTATGCTGTACAGACAGACAGCTGTAGCACTCAACCTTTTGTCTGAGAAGAACCGGAAAGGATAAGAAATGTCTGAATAACAATAATAAACAGCTCCTTGAGCATCTGGTGGGGATGTCTAAGATGGACTGAAGTTATAATAAAAATGCCACTATTCAGTCATCTGTTCATTGGGTAGTTTTTGTTTTCTTTAACCCCTCTGGATTACAAGCATGCATAAAAACACCTAACCTTTTTGAATGTTGTTTTTATTCAATAACAAATAACACCAACAATAACAGAATCCTTAAGAATGAATGTCTTTATTTAAACGTGTTGCAGCGCTAAGCCGCCCATCTCTGCTGAGAACGGAGAAATGTCTGGCTGAGTCCTTCAAGAGTCACAAGACCAGCAGAGCCCTCGTCCATGTTGGTCATGAAGTTTAGTTTAGTTTAGTTTAACCCATGTGGGTCTCGGAGACTCTAATGCTGAGACAGCAGCCTTAAAACGCCGCCGTTTAGGGGGAGACGGGGTGCAAACGTGACTTTGAGGTCCGTTGATTGAAATGAAATGAGTCAGTTTTTTATACTAACCAGTAGGTTAAAGGGCCGATACCGCACATGCTGGTTTTCTTTTTTACCTATTGTACCGAAAAGTACAGAATCGTGACTCCGAGGTACGTACCGAACCATGAATTTTGTGTACTGTTACACCAGTTAGTTAAGTTAGTTGAGTTGAGTCTCGTATTTAGTAAACTTAAGTTCATTGTGTTGAGTCTTTGGTACACTTGTTTGTTGAGTTTAGTTTAGTTGAGTCTGGTGTTTAGTAAACTTAAGTTTGTTGAGTTAGTTTGGTAGAGTCTAGTGTTTAGTAAACTTAAGTTTGTTGAGTTTAGTAGGGTTAGTTAAGAGTGAACCTGATAAATAGTCTCACTTCCTGATGCAGATCTCAGATCAGTTTGGTTAGAACAAGTAGAACCCTGTTCTCTGTCTCTCGTCAGGGTTTTCCACATCCTCAACCATCACCCCGGGGGTCCATCTCCCATCATGTCCGTTGACATGGCCGTGAGGATCTACCTGTCCAGCTCTCCTCCTCTTCACTCCTTCCTCAGTAACTATGACCACTGCTGTTCATCATCATCATCATCATCATCATCTCTGATGAAGCACTGTGAAGCGCTGCGTTCCTGTCTGTCCTTCAGGAACGTTGCTACTCCAACCTCAACGTTAGCCGCCACAGAGGTCGTTTGCCCGGCATGGATGAGGAGGAAGAAGAGCGTGGTGTTTGCAGACTCTCGAGGTCTGGCGCTCACCGCCATCCACGTCTTCAACGAGGCCGAGGACGACATACTGACCGAGCTGCAGTTCCACCTGATTGAGGTAGAGGGCGCTGCCACCGGACCACACCTGGGAGACAACAAAGGTGAGCAGCTAACCGTTGATACACAACAAGAAACAATCAATCATTTTGATTTGTTCCAGAACATTTCTTTCTTATTCTGTCGTGAACTGATCTGTTCTTTAACAGTAATAGTGTTGTTTGTTAAAAGCATGACCTCTGGTGTTTTGAGATTATCACTTTTCAATATTTGCTGACATTTTGTAGACAACTAATCGCTGTTGAGAAAATAATCTGCAGATTAAACAGTGATGAAAATAATCTTTTTATTTATGCAGCACTTTTCTATAGAAGAAGAAGAAATATACATTTATAGAAAAGACATAAATATATGTTAACAATGTAAACGAGTAGAATTAAGTTAAAACCCACAAAAATAAATGTTCCCCTTCCAGATGCTGCAGATTGTGGTTCGGGCCTGGTTCTAGACTTCACCCAGCCAGCTGCAGACTATTTGGACTTGAGGAACCGGCTCAAAGCACAGCAGGTTTGTCTGGAAACCTGTTCTGTCCGGGAGCGTCTGCTCTCAGGGACTGTTCAGGTCCGAAACCTCTGCTTTGACAAGTCTGTCTCAGTCCGGATCACTTTTGACTCGTGGCGTTCCTTCCTGGACATTTCTTGTCTGTACCTGAACAACGTCTATGGCTGCCCAGACACCGATACTTTCTCCTTCTCTGTCTTGATACCGGAGGTCCTCGAGCCCTCCAACAGAGTGGAGTTCTGCATCCAGTACCAAACTCAAGACCACACCTTCTGGGACAACAACCATGGGAACAACTACCGGCTGGTGGACCCAAAAAGCAGCTTGACCCAGAGCACGGAGAATACCGCCAGGCTGGAGATTTGGAGCGACCATGGCGGAGACAAGGATGAGTCCATGGAGTTTGATCCCTTAGGAAGTCCCAGGACATCAGCAGGAAACTTCCCTAAATGGCAAAGCGTGGGTCATGTGGAGACCAGCGCCCCCTACTGGTGAGACCACCACAGGTCAGGTTTTTTATTTTGCACCCACTGAGATCTTATTCCCAAAATGTAAGAGATTCACAGGACCCTCACATGAGCACTGGAACGCCTCCTTATATCCAGACGTGTTTGTAAGATACACTACAGATCATTGCTTCACTAGAGCCTCTGTAGCTGCACTAACATGCATGAGCCTTTATAAAAGACAACTTTAAGACGGGATTGAAAGGACAATTCAGGTATTCAAACTGTCAGCCCAGCAGTGACTTAGATCCGGCTCATCTGGGTTTCCTGGAATCCAGCTGCCCAATAAGATCCAGACCAGGTACACATCTGGTCCTCCTTTGCTGGAACTCAGCCACAATTCAGCTGGACACCTGCCATGGCCTCGTGGGAAATCTTGAAAACCTTGCAAATGTGCTTTGTAAAAGCATCCTAAGAATTCAAGAGTTTTCAAGGTGCCACATTTTCAAATATGCAAGAGTGAACTGAGTAGCTCAGAGATATTCCAAGAGAATCAGGAGTCATAAGAGCTTTGTAAAAGCAGTTTTCAAAAGGGTCAGTGCTTTCTTAAAACCCCCCAAAGACCCATGGGGGTTCAAGGTATTACCAGTGTGTCAAAAAAAAACACAAGGCTTCAGTATCATTTGTACAACGTCACAGCATCAGGCTCCATATGGCTCCACACAGCAGTTTTAATGCAGTATATACTGTATCTATATATATCTATAGATATATAAATATATATATCTATAGATATATATATCTATAGATATTTATCTTTGTAAAACAGAATGTAACAAATACATGCCGAGATACAGTATGTGAAGTACTGAATAGTTATTGATTAAAATAAAGGCATGTGATACCAGATCAGCCTATTGTCACAGGACCCGATCCAGCTCTCTGAGTCAGTATCGGACCGTTATCAGTATCAGTGCATCTGTACTTTGAAAAGAGAAAAATTAAACGGGACAGATTACTGCAGTGAACTAAGTGATATAAACTCTTCTTCAGTCTTTGGGTTAAGGTTGTTTTCACTGTTGAATCCTGTTTGTGTGGTAAGCCTCACTGCCTTCAGGTTCAGTTAAACTTTGAGTCAGTTGAGGGATCTTTAACATCCAACTCTAAAACTTAAACGGGCTGAATCCAACTGTTGGGACTTCCTATTACTCACAGACAGTCCTGGGTGAAGATCCCAGCTTTAGTCGGATCCATGGCCTCGATTGAGGTCTGAAGTCTCGTCTCATTGTGCATTTAATACCTTTAAAGCACATCTATGACTTTTTGTGATGACTCTAATGGAACGAAAAATCAAGTCCACGAGGGCTCAGTCCAGTCCAGAGCGGGGACATTTGGATTCTTCCCAACCTGAAAAGTACTTTTGGGGTTGTTTTGGGTTTTGGTAGAAATTATACTTGTACCCCTGAAGACCTCTAATTCATACAGCAGGAGAGTGAAAATGCAGTTCAAGTTCATGTTCATCTGTTATGTATTGACTGGATTTAGAGTTAAATCCTGTCTCAATGTGACATGAAGCAGAAACTATACCGACCACTATCAGCAGCACTTCACTTTATATTGTCCTCTGAGCTTCAGCATCGGCCAAACTCATCTTTTAGTTGTTTTTGATTGGATGTTTCTTTGTGGGGGTTTTCACTCAGACTCTCAAACTTTGTTTTGTTGTTAATATGATGTCCTTGATTTCATCTTGACTCAGACCCTGTCTGGACTGGTCTTGGACTTAAGTGGTCCACCTGGAACCAATAAGTTCTTGTTTCGCTGTACTGATTTGAGCACCAGCAGTTTCCTCCTTTAGCCGCTGTAACCCCGCACCCCAATCAGATGTCTCCAGAGTGATGTGATGTTGATGTTTGAAGATAGGATGTGTCTGTAAACACAGCATTGAAAATATGGGGTGGGGGAGGGAGAGAGAGAGAGAGATCAGTGGTGGTCAAGTGAGCTGGAGAGTGAATGTCGAGAGAGGATTCAGAAGAATAAAAGATTATTTTCTTATTGTTTCACACGTTACGTTCTGAAGCACAAATAAACATCTAAACCTCACAAACCTGCAGGAAGCTGCCCAAAGCAGCTTCATCCTGCTGTAGACGGTCCTCGGTCTGTCGGGTCTGAGAGATCTGAGAGATCTAAAAGACCTGAGAGGTCCGAGAAGTCTGAGAGATCTGAGAGGTCTAAGAGGTCTTTTTAGGAAATTGTTGCACATTACAGTATATCTTTAATGTATTTATAAGACTGAACACAGTGTTAAGGAATATTTGTGAGCCAGGCTGGATACCAGACCTGTAGAGGTGTAGAGGGTCAACCATGACCTTGTTCATAGAGCTGTCCTTTATGACGGAGTCACACTAACTTCTAACTATAAGAAAGGACCGTATGTCTGTGAAGGCAACGCGACACGGTGGACACTTACTGAATACAAGTTTAAGGGTTCTACTTCCTGCAACTCCTCAGCTAAAGAAATCCCTTTGATCCAGGTCTGGTTTGGTCCAGGTTTTCCAGAATTCAGGTCAAATGCAGTTTTCATCAAGAATTGATTTTATTGGTCCACTGACCTGTGAATAGCATGACGTAAAATGTTCTAGAAATAGATGATGTATAAGGTTCTAGATATAGATGATATAGAAGGTTCTAGATATAGATGACATATAAGGTTCTAGATATAGATGACATATAAAGTTCTAGATATAGATGACATATAAAGTTCTAGATATAGATGATATAGAAGGTTCTAGATATAGATGACATATAAGGTTCTAGATATAGATGACATATAAGGTTCTAGATATAGATGACATATAAAGTTCTAGATATAGATGACATTATTAAAACAGGTGTTTGAAGCTGTTTTGCTTGTAATAACATTCACATTATAATATAATAGTTCAAAAAGAAACAGGAAGTCTTAATGGAAGTAAACTGTTTAAAGTGAAGTTGATGATTTCGAGATGTTTGATGAACGGCTGCTTTGTGCTGTGTTCAAGTCACGTCAGAGTTATTATAACCTGTACACCCGAGGAAACACTTGGTGATCCTGTCGTTTTTTAAATGCCACTTTAAAGTATGAATTAGTTATTGAAAATGAAGTGTGTTGTATTTTCATTAGTTTTAGTCCCACGATGATTTAATGTGTGTGAAAACATGGCTAATTAGGTTTCGCTCTTTACTGACGTGACTTGAACGCAACATTTTAGCTAGCCACCGGGCAGCCAAAGTTAGCTTGTGCTAACAGACATGATTAATGCCATTTAACGTGGCTAGCTAGCGAGCTAGCCGGCTACTAGCATTAACAGCTGTCCTGTATTGTAAAGTGCAATCTAATGATGACGTCAGGGTATACTACTGAAACAGGAAGTGATGTAAGCAGAGAGCGATTTACTGTTACTTCTGTGTGTGTATATATATATATATATATATATATATAATGTTGGTTCAGGTCAGCTTCTGATTCTCTTTCAGAGAATAGTTATAACATAGTTATATAACACAGAACCAACACACACACACACACAAGAAGATTAAAACATTAAAATGACATCATGTTGCTGCAGATCAGCTGACTAAAAGAAACATCAGCTGTCCATAGTCGAGTTTAACAAGACGTTTTGATCAGTTATCAGTTCGATGACATTGATTTGATGAATCTAAAATCAATGTACTTCTATGTACATGAGATCATAATCAATTACACACATGAAGGTAGACGGACGACAAACGGATAATAGAGTTATGTAAGACTGGGAGAGGACACAACCACACACACAGATGGACACAACCACACACATACACGCACACAACACACACACACACATACACACACACATACAAAGAAACTCATTTAAGCTATTTTTTTTCATTCGCAAGGTCTGTCTTAACTATT